TACCACAAGAATTAGTGGCAGAAGAAATCTATTAGCGCTTACACACTTAATAGAAGTAAGAGATTCGCGATTATCTGGATCATTAATAAAGGAGGGCAATTAAGTGTTTTTCTTTTGTACAATAACTTTGTACGCTTGACCAACGCCTATTCGAAAGCCTGTTTCATCCATATTATAGATATCCTCTTCAAGAATACCGTATTTTGTCTTGGTCTCACGAAATCGCTCAAAATGAGCTTGTATCTCCTCTTGATCGTGCGTAAGCTTTCGTTGAATAGAGAGAGGCTTTCTCTTCTTCATAACGTACTTCGGATGGCGTTGTAGAAAGCGTCAAGACCAATCTTTGCTGACTATAAGGGGGGCAGTGGTAGAATTGCTGTGGGCACGTTCGAGGATAGAATTCGCAGCGCTCTGTAGCATTTGAGGGCGTGCACTCACTCCTGATTCGTCTAATCGATCAAGATAGTGACAAAAAGCAAGCTCCTGGTCCTCACTAAGCTTTTTATTAGCCCCTCCATATTGTATCTTATTTTGAACACCCTTGTATCTTCTTCGGAGTCGTTGTTCAGAGACGTCGAATTGGCGTGCTGTTTGCGCGATATTAGGGAATTCGGCTTCGTTTAATGCGTAAATAGCATTATCGATTCTATCCTCAATTTCTTGATAGGATTCGGCCATTTTTCGTTGAATGGGAGCGCGTTTTGTGTGGGCGTACGAATAATTGAAAAATTCTATCGTTGCGCTGAAATCTATCGTTGCGGTGTGGTGCACTAAGCTTTGCAGCTTAGTGCAAAAAGTGCACGGTTAATCTACAATCTACTCTATGATGTAGGCATAGGAACGGGCCATCTGTTTCCCATGTCCGTTGAAGCTAGAGAGGCTAGTAGATGGAAGATGGAGCGGCCGCGCAGAAGGGGCTGAGGAGAATACTTAAGAGGAAGTCGATTTGGGAGAAGAAATAATAGTGAGGAGGGCCGTGGAGATGTAGATATTCATCCTGCGATTCTCTGCCACTGATACTTATTCCATGACCTAGAGCGGCGTGTGGTACAAGTGGATTCAGGTGAGCTAGGCCGTGTAAGGGGGGCCCGGAGGCCGGAGCCGGGGCGGAAACCCGCCGCCAACTGCCCACCTCTCCCGGCCGCAGGGGAGGGCCCCCATATTGATATTGAAAATGAAGTCACACAAAACCCCCTTCTCCCAAACCACGCCAACCCTCCGGCCTCTTCCCTTCTTTCTTCTCCCTTCGATCTTACAAATCACCGCTCTCATACACCAACATACTAGTAAAAGCATCACATCTAACGCCCTCGACATCCTCTACATGATGAAAACGAAGCTGAACCACTGCACGAACCGCGCCTGGCCAGAGGATCTGGAGGATCTGGAGGATCTGCAGTTCCTTCTGACGAGCTATGGGGAGGGAGTCTGGGAGATTGCGGATCAGCTCGATGAGGAGGATCGGGAGTCCTTTCTCGAGTGGGAGGAGGTGAGGAGGTTGGATCGGGAGTCGAGGGAGAGGTGGAGGCGGGTGCTTGGTCTGGACGGGGGAGAGGAGACTGCTGCTGGGTACTACTACTAGTAATCGATGGCGTTGGAGGGCACGCTGAGTGAGCGTTTGTGGGGTAGTAGCTCCTCGCCCTCGCCATTATGTTAACAGAGCCAGGAACACACCTACCTGAGCACTGATGCTTCTCTATTACCTGCACTTCAAGTGCCCGCGAAGCAGAGAGCGCTCTTGCGCCTGCGCAGGAGCCCAAAGGCAGTGTGTCCATCAAATTAAATTAAATCGGTGCCTTCGTCAAAGCAAATCGGCCTACACAAAATTTTCCGTCTCTCATTTGAAATATTAATTCAACGATATTTTTGATTGAACAAAAATAGTCTTGGCGGACACTCGATCTAGACGAGAATTCAAGTAGATCCCTTGAAATACTAGTATATTCCTTACCGGGATTTGACTCGATTTGACAAATCAAGTCAAACAAAGCAAATCATGGCCTCGATTTGCTCTTTTGGATTCGATGGATGGATGATACCCCGCCCAATGGCAACCAGACAGCGAAGAAACTCTGTGGTAACGGGGCACACAGATGCAACAGTAGTGGCAAAGCCGAGCTTTGAGCTCCTCTTCCCGCTCCGAGATGGCATCAAGCTGTGCTGTGATGGAGTATTTCCGGGCAGGGAAAGTTCCAACCGAAGTCGGAAGATGGTTGAGGCTGCTGAAGGGCTCGAATGCTTGCCAATGAAAGTGGGTCCTTTTCAGATCGGTAGGTGGCGAGAGATGGTGCTGCTTTGTCATGAGATTGGAGGCGGAAGAGGGGCCGAGACTTGGTTGTGATGGGTCCATGTGCGACTTGTGGCGTTGTGGTAAGTCGTTGCAGGAATTATGGTGGATGGCTGAAGGGGTAAAGGGTTGAGAGGAGACTGACTGTCTTGATGTAGTCAGGATGAGTTGTGCGAAGGAGAAGGGAGAGCGTCGTAACGGGCACCTTATCGGGAGAGGTCGCGACTGGAGCTGTATCTGAAGCGAAGGCGTAAGGGTAACATTCAGCAGGGCTGATGGGGATCTATTTGTTCAATCAACGCACAGAACATCTGCATTATCTATCAGGACTGTGTCACCAATTCTACGACACTTCTCCCTCTGTCCCTCCGAACCTCCACCCATCCAGCCCTGGGACACTCCACAATCAACCCATCGACACAAACTCTCCTCCATCTACCCATTTCACTCTTATCCTCCGCTCCGTCGTCATCCTCCTCCGCGAACTCGATTCTCAGGCCCTCGACCTCTTCGTACCCAACCAGTCCATTCTCATCATCCACATGCCTACCCCCTTGGTAAGCCAACCCAAGTAGTCTCACCACCTCCTCAGGCCCCACAGCCCCAATACTGACAATTCTCAATTTACCATCCAATGGCTCCGAGTGCGGCGAAACGGTAAAACCTTCCTCCAGATTAGATACCAGGGTTGCTAGAATATACATATGCTCCCTTCTTATGCTGCCATCACGCTCTCTCAACGGCTCCCAAATCTCCTGTCCAGATTGGTCGCAGTGGAGGGTTGAGACAACGCCCTTGTAGAGGTGAGTTGGTGAGTTGTCAGGCGGGCAGAGAAGTGATTTGGCGGCGGTGCTGAAGCGGGACGAGCCATGCACGCGATGGGCCGGGGCGTCAGAGAGGGAGATCAGTGAGGCGTGTAGACACCAGGATGTTAGGACGCAGCCGTGTAGGGTGGAGGTGCCGGAAGGGCTGGTTGAGGAAAGAGGAGTGTGCATGGGGTGTGTGGAGCTAGCGGGATAGGAAATGGATGTACTCTTTGGAGAAAAGGTGACGTGGAATGTTGGGAGGGGTTTGGGCATGCCGAGGAGGAGGTTGCGGAGACCGCGGGTTTGGTCTTCAGAGGTACCGTCTGGTTCCTGACCAGAGGTCTGAGTAGTGGTGGCAGGAAGGCCTTTGTTTGGTCGAGGTCGGCATGATGAGTTGTACAATGCATTTCCGGTGCCCATCGGTATGAGGCCGACAATTGGTATGGCAGCATTGGCGGTCGTCATTTGCTCACTGAACAGGGTGTTGACAACATCAACCATGCCCCCGTCGCCGGAGAGGAGGATGATGAGCTGCTTGATCCCTTGGTTGACCCTTGGTAGGATGATATCACGTGTCAATTGCGAGATGGAGTCTGCACTTTCTGTGCGATGGACAGCGTAAGGAGATACCTTGAGCTGGTCAAGAAGTGGTTTGAGGGCTAGTTCGTAAAATCCTTCTGCCTTTTGCGTGCCTGAAAATGTGGAGATCACGACATGAATATTCGCCTGGCCATTTTTGGGTGGCAGACGTAGGTGTTCCGGCAAATGTGGTAGGAGTAGTGGAGGACAAGGGAGAAGATGCTGGCCAGTGTACTCCATTTGGAAGCTCTTCAACCTAAACATCTCTCCTTGGTTATCATTCTGCTCAACGCTATCTTTAGGATAGTTCCCTGCGGCAAACAGTGCTGCATGAATGCGACTGTCAGATTCCGAGACTTCCGCTCTAGCTCTGTGTGTTACGTGGATTGCAATGATGTTGGCTGTTGGTATCTGAAGCTGTCGATCACTGAATTGGACATCGAACGACGACGGTAATAGGCTGAGCTTAGCCGGCTCGCCCATGAAGACTGCATCTTGAAAGTAGCTGTCCATCTTGGAGGTATTTGGCAGGATCTTGGAAAGAACGGGACGTCTCTCAGCTCAAAGAGATACTGTCCGAGGAGCCCAATCATGGAGCCCCAACAGCACGTGTTAGTCCACATCGTCATTAGTTTCTGCTTTTTGCAACACCATTTGCATGATGCTGGCATCGTCTCTTCTCTTTATTGTAATGGATGTGTGTTGTCAATGTCAAGGGGATGTCAAAGGTGTGTGGTAGATCAGATGTCAGATGTCAGATCTTGACCTCTCTCTTCAGTTCTTAGGATGATCCTCATTATCTAGACTCATACAACCTTCATCTTAGCAAAGGTCCGGCTCTACCATCACAACCATGGCCCTTCTTGACCTGCCACTAGAGCTCCTCAATCTGGTTCTCAAGGCTGTATGGCCCGACGATATCGAGAATGCCTCCATGACTTGCCGCTTGCAGCAAACCCTAGCCATTCCTCACGTCAACAAGCACAAGAACTTAAGAAGCCAATATGGTTGCCTCGATCTGTTCCTTCGAGAAAACAGTTCAGTCATGCCACATCAATCGCCAACAACGCTTCTTCATAGTATATCAACCGATCCTCGACTGGCCTACTTTCCCTTCCGAATCAATACACGGGCCTGTCCTCCTACTCCGTCACCTTCCTTGATTCTGACCAACTCCGAGCTCGCAACCGCTCCATACTAAAGCAGCACAACGGCTTCCGGGGTCTGCTGCACGCCTCGCCTTACCTGTCACAGCAGGAGGCTGATGAATGGCAGAAGCCTATCCTGCATGGGAATGAAGGCGCACTATGTGCTCTGTTACTCTCGGTACTTCCGAACCTCCAGCAACTATATCTCTGGTACAATCTACAATCAGATATGGTCTACTTGAAAGGCATGATCAACCGCATTGCAAAAGCATCCTGTGGACCAAAGATGTATGTCAATCGATCCAAAGAGATCCCTAGCATCAAAAACAGCACTTATCCTCATGCCTTGCGTAAACTCACTACGCTTGGCCTGCAGCGCCAATGCGGGCTGAACGGGACTGAGATTGGGGATGACTACGACCTCTTGTTGCATTTCATAAATCTTCCATCCCTAAGCTCTTTCATCGGCGGGATTGGTCCGGAGTCCACGCTGCGCGCTACTTGCGCCGCTAGTCCTCAGCAACCTGAATACACTTCCCATGTCAACAATCTGAATCTCTGCTCCACTCACCCGGGAACGCTGCACTATCTTTACGATGACTAAGGAGATCCAGCGACGACATCCCTACCCATACCTCCCCTACGGCGCCACACTAACCGCTTATGTCATCAAGGTGTTCAACCAAGACGACGCGGCCCCCTGGTTCAAGAGATGGCAGAATCTGTTCCGTACGGCTCCTTGGTTCCCGAAGTGGCAGCGCTCGTGGGACCGAGCAGAGATCACCCAGGCCATGTCCCAGAACTTGCCAGATCACGAGGAGGGTCTACCCGGCACGGGTGGCTTCCTCGGCTTGCCGGATGTGCAAGATGCCGTGGTGAAGAGGCTGTTTGGTCCGTCTGAGAAAGTGGGCGCGGTCTGGCCCGGATCTGGTCGAGCTACAGGTCGAGAGCAAAGGACGTGAGAATTCGAGATCTGGTTAGAGAGATCTGTCAAGGTTTCCGGCCGAGGTTCGGTCCCGGAAGCCACGAACCCTGACAGGCACGAGAATGTTCCAGGCGTGGACAGAGTGCGTGCCGCTTGACCCGATCTGGTACGGCTATACATTACGGATCCTTGAGACTAGCATTTATTCCAGATTTATTGTCTGTGTAGGAGTCATCCGTCTAGGGTGCCTGTATGTGACTGGCTGAAGGGCGGGGGGTAGAGGGTGGAGGGCGGTGCACGGGCAGAGAGGCCTGGTGAAAACCTAGCATCGAAACCCAAATTCGCAGGAGACAGGGGCAAGACGGGCTGGCCTGGACAAATAATCACCACCACCGTAATGAACAACGCAACAGTGGTTATCCGAACTTCACGACCACCGTTTCACCAACATCATCTCCACCAGGGAATAAAAAGACAGCTACAACGTTTTTTTTTCTCTATCTAAAACCCAGTATTTCTCACTTCCAAGGCCACTGTTGGCTCGATCAAGATTCCTCCGGGGAGGACAGACGCAATCTTCAATGCTCAACTCAACGCAATACATTACATCTCCAATCAGTCAACCAACCAACCAACCAACCCTCTTTCTTACATGGCGCACTCATGGATCCCCCCGGGGCCCAACTCATTATAATCGGCGCGAGTCAAAAACCCTTTACTGATGCCCTGATCCACCACAAACACCACCTTGGCCGCCACCTGGGCGCCCAGGAAGGTAGCCTCTTCCATGCCCGTGCCCGCTCCGCCACCGGCCGGAGCAGCGGCTGACTCTTTCCACTCGGGAAAATACTCCGGTGCTTTGACCACCTTGATGTGTGTGGGTGTCTGGTTGTGGCCTCGATGGTGGTGCGGGTTCTGTTGGTCCTGGGCGCCGGGGACGTGGAGGTTGGATGCTGGTTGCTGGGTGGGGAGGTTTTGGGTTTGGGATTGGTTTGCGTGGGTGGCGGCGACGAGGAGCGGGTTCACGCCGTGGCCGGCGGGGTGGTGCATCGGGTGGATGGGTTGGCCGGGGATGGGTGTGTTGGTGCCGCCGGTGGGGAGCGGGGTCGAGAGGTTCGAGGGGAGCTCCGAGGTGAAGATGGTCGCCGTGGAGGGGGACAGGGTGTATTGTTGTGCCAGGGTTGCTAGCAGAGCGGGAGTGAAACCTGTTGATTGCGAATATCAGCTGAGCAGTTTGAAAATAATCTTACATTGGTCATACCTCGTATTCTGCTGCCGTTTCCAAGGACTATGAGGTTCTCCCACAGAGTGCTGCGGATAGACACGTCGTGAACGGAAAGGATGGCATTGTGGATGGTCCTAGCGATGATGTCGAGAACGCCTTCACTGCTGTGTGAATTGGATGAAGGTGAGGCAGCCATAAATCGCTCGACGCCAACCACGACATCGCGCTTCCTCTTCCGCACACGCCTTGTCCCGTTGCTGGACCCATTTGTAAGATCGTCTGCTACCGATTCGTAGTCCTCGTACGAAAAGCTCGCGGTTGGTTTCTCCGAATTCCGCAATCGTACTGCCCTGGCCGCATCAGCTCCTGCGGCTTTCTTAGCCGCAGCCTTCTCTTGTCTCTCCCTTTCCCGCTTGGCGAGTATCTCGCTGGCGTTTCCTCGGGCCACGATAGAGGCTACATCTAGCACCCCATCGTTGTCCTCGTCGTCTCCGTTGAAGCCGTCCAAGCCAACCTCTGTGTCTTCCCCCGGTCCTCGTGGTGCGGTCCCGATCTTCGTACCGTTGGCTTCGACTGCACCATTTATCGCTGCGCCAGAATCTATGGCCCCCGTGGAGGCCGCGGCGGCAGGATTCGGGACGTCTCTCGGAGGGCTTTGAGGCGCTCCCGGTAATGGTACATCTGGCGGGAGGATCTCGCATATGCTGCTCTTCTTCAATTCCTCACACATTCGCTCGTCAAAGCCCTTCTTTTCCAGCAATTCCAACAGTCTCCTTGTCATACCCTGCCCACCAGCACCTCTAATCGCTGCTCCCCGACCCAGGTCGCAAACCGCGAAATCATTGACTGCAGTAACATCACATTTGCCGTACCCAACATCTACAATGGTGGCGGTGGAAATGCCATACGCGTAACACGCTGCTAGTGCAGAGTCCATCAAACAAAATGCGGGGATCTTGAACGTCTCGAAGAAGAACTGCGTCACGATCTCGTGATCGCGAGCGGACCAGCAGGGCTGACTGATGACGAGGACTGGGGTATGGAAGGGCGGAGAGAGGGTGTTGAAGACGTGGGTGAGCAGGGCGAGGAAGCAGGGCCAGTTCTCGATGTGACCATCTTTCAGAGGATAGACTGCGCCTTCGGTGGAGGTGGGATCCTCTTCGTAGGTGACAGCCGCATCTGTGCTGTCTGGTTCCTGGAGATTTTCCACAACTTGAGCCTCTGAGGTTGGCTCAGGCTTCGGCGCATCGCTCATATCAACCTCAGGCGGATCGGCGCCATTGACAGTCGTGCCGTTGGTCATGCTCGGCGCAGACGCTGCAGCGCTGCGAATCTTGGTGGGCTCCCACTCTCCAGGGCTGGTTCCTGGGAACATGCGCGTCGGGAAACGCCATGCTGGTGGGGTGAAGGATTCTGGCAGACCGAGTTGAGCAAGAGTGCATTGCGACCCGGGGGAAATGATCTGGTGGGAATGGGGAATGGTGTCAGCATTGGTGGCGCATGGATGTTGGGTTATTGACGGTACAGGTGAAAACTCACAATCAGACTTTCGTCTTTGAATGGAGGCATTACTGGATCTGGGCGTTGCACATCAGACTCTTCTCGACCCCACACGCGTCTGGTTGAACAACGAAGTCGTGACACTTTTGCCGCGCCGCTTCAGGTGCGGGAAATGGGCACCTAACTAGTAAGTAGCTTGGCCAAAGCTTGAATTTAGTTAACTGGCGCAGATCTGCTTGGGGAGCCACCTGACACCGGACTATTATTACAGTATCAGTACTCCGTATTATCCTCCCGATTATGGGACACTTTTCGTTCCAACCCACACTGTTCCTGCACCGGTGCCAAGGCTTGATACCAATATGCTTGTAGAAACGTAACAAGCAGTAACCAAAAACGGCACCCAAGTACCCGCCCCGCCCCCCCAACCCCCTGGCAAACCTACGGTAGTTAGGCATACGTAGTAGGTATCGTTAGCTTGCCCTAGTAACGACTTGTACATGCCAAGATAAAATGCCACAAAATCGCCCGATCAGGGCTAGCCTTGTACGTATTTAAAATCCAGTATGCATCCCACTGGCTTCAATGACTGCCTGACATCGCGCTTGCATTGATTCGAGCAGTTCTAAGAGATATAATGTTGTAGTAGGAGAAGAAGCTGAGCGCGTTTAGCGTGTTTAACACGTCGCATAAGGTACGTCATTCGTACAAGGGCAACAGGGGTATCTGTTCGAGTGGCGTTGAATCACAATATTACTAGAGCAAACTCACAACACTTATGCCTCCTACCATAGTACAGCACTTTTAAGAAGTCAGCGGTGCACTAGAATGGGGGTCGTGCTGTGACCACAGCGCCTCAGAGTGGTGGCTGCTTGCTCGACCGTCCATATAATAGTGAAGGGTCACCACCTCCTAAACCCTCCGCCGCAAAAACCTCCTGTTAATATAGCGTCACGATGATACGAATGATGAAGCGGTTGCGACTCAAAAATACGCCGGAGCAGGTATTCGAAAGAAGATGTACCTTGTTTGGCGCAATTATAACATTGACCATCTCGATAGAGGAGGGATGACGGCACCCTAGACAATTCAACCTCTGAGGGTGAACATGCCTTGAGCGCTCAGCATGGGCGTCGGCTCCGACTAGACGATCCAGACTATCTTCCCTTTACCATAGACTTATTGTGGAAGAGGTGGACAGAAACAAGACAGCTCTTGGCGGCAGGAACCCTAGTTGAACCACTCGACTCTATGATCGAGAGCGATGACGCCTGCGTGAACCTTGACCAAGAAGGGATGGTAGGGAAGGCATGTCAAATGCTTTATCTCTTTTCCCCAGACGGACCACTCCGTCCTTAACTATCTTTAGAATCCTGACGCTGCTTATCTAGATCGTAGATTCGTCGGAAATCATTAAAACTTACTCCTCGACAATTGAGCGTTTACACCATTGTGCCAAACTGTCGCGTATCAAATTGTGCCCAAATCCTGCATGCCGAATGAATAAAGAACTCTTGTCAAAACGCCTTTCCGGTCGCTCCACATGGTGCAAGCCCTTCCTCGACTGGCTGCTCCAGTGGTACTCCTGTTATGTCAGTGCCCTCTTCTTCCATTATCGAGTTGGGGCCCCGTTGAAGATGAATCTGTCGTTGTCACTCATCCGATGTCTGAAAATCCCAATGATTGATGGAGAAGTTAATGAGAATAACCCCTACATACTGCCAGATAGATTGATCTATGATATGGTGGAATTGATTTCTCGAGTGGAAGAAGCATACTACCCTGATAGCAGGCAAAAGTTGATATATCGCTCTGAACACTTGAGTTTTAGGCCACCCGACATCGTATACGAAGAGGACTTCAAAAGAGCCGTTCACAGGACCGAAAAGCTGGGAATCTGCAAAAATCGTCTTTGGAACACCATCTCTGGTTGCCCTCGTGAATGGCTCGATCTGCCAGCTCTTCTAGCATTGATTGACGAAGAGGATGGAGAGAACCCTGGTATCTTCACGCACATGGAGGATTTCGGTTTGCGGACGACGCCGACCGCCACTGCCAGTCTCGCTGAGTCGTCCATTGAATATGATCATCAAGCTTGCACCTCGGACCTGTGTCATTTCTCATCCATGGATAGCACTCGTGTTGCACAAAGACACAAATGTCCCGAATCTGACCGCCCGTCATGTCCTTTGATCCACTTCCCTCTGGCGAATGAGAAGTCACCTGATCGCTTGCTTTGGAATTTCAGTACTGACTCGTCAGTTTCTACTGAAGACACAGCGATCTACAAGGCCTTATTAACGTCTGGAGAATACGTTGCCATATCGCATGTCTGGTCCGATGGGACTGGAGCCGGGGTTCAAGGTCAAGGCCTGATGAACAGCTGTTTGTTTCGTTTCTTTTGCAACATTGCCAAAGTACTCGATTGTGGAGGAGTCTGGTGGGATGCCATCTCCATCCCCTCAGCGCCCAAGTTACGTGCAAAGGCACTTCGCAAGATGCATTCTCACTTTAGCTCAGCCAAACATACGGTGATCCACGATGAATATCTGATGAGGTTTCCGTGGAAGGATGACGGGACTCCATGCGCGGCGTTAGTGCTCTCCCCGTGGTTCACACGTGGATGGACTGCAGTGGAGCTAGCAATGTCAAAGAGCGTTAAAGTGTTGTTCAAGAACCCCGAAGACGATAGAATGCCACTGATCAAAGACTTAGAGAGGGATATTCTGGCCAACGGCCCTAATTGCAGTCTAGGACATAGGGTTGCCTCCGCGATTGTTCATAAATTACGCGGTACATCCGGCAGAAATCGTCGCCTCTCGGATCTCGTGGACATTCTCAAAACAAGAAGCAATTCGTGGCCGAGAGATCGGGTGGTTATCGCAGCGCTTCTTGCCGGCATCGAGCCCGAAGTAGAAGCTACCAACATGCAAACCCGTGTAATACAACAGATTGTGGCCTCATATCGCACGGTCAACGGAAGCCTTTTGATTCATGGATCCCCTACCATAATGGAATACGGTTCGCTCTCCTGGTGTCCGTCGAATCTGTTCTTTGGAAACCCAACGATCCTCTCTCAAGGTATTGCCTACTGGGATCAACTCGAACTTTCAGTTGACAGAGATACTGGTGCCCTGGAAGGGGCCTTTTTGGCGTGCGACCTCATGAGAGCCGCCCACAAAAGAGATCACCCCTTGGTCCCCCTCTCGACGCACGCTGCTGTGCGTCGGAGGATCAACTCTGCATTCTCGCAGAGAGATGAATATCTTGCCATCACATGCTCGAGCCAGCAAAGCTTCTCTGTGATCGTGAGAGCGGCGGGTCTCAGGAACATGCCTAGGAGAGCCATCGACTGTGAATGGGTCGGTGTTGTTGTTGGCGACCTGTCTAAGACGGATTGGATAAGAGATATTGTGATTAGGATTGGGACACAAGATACCCCCTCACGGTCAGTATATAGTGCGGATGATATGCTGCGGCTTTATTGTGGAGAAGATTTACCTCCGGATCCAGAGGGCATATGCGGATATCGGTGGGATGGATCAGTTGGCCCCATCAGTAGGGGATATCATTGGAGCATGGAGAATACCAGGTGGGAAAAGTCTGCACCTTCTTTCTAGCCCCCTGGATCTCTCCACAGAAAAAGAGACAATATGGGTAGAAGTCTACCCATTCTGATCATTAGTTCCTTTTTTTTCCGCGTTGGCCAAGCCAGAGAGCAAGGTCAATAAATGATCCTGGATGTCAAAGGAAACTCAAACATACTAAGCGATACTGTAATATGGTCAGTGAATATGTATGGGCAGATACTGATGCGGATGTAAAAAACGGAGACTGCCCGACAGAAGACTGCAGAGCTAGGCATGAGTGTAGTATTTGATTCGTAGGATTCAGAAAAGAAATTTATGAACTTGAAAACCTCGACCCCGGAGCCCGACTAAGTTGATCCAAGATCTCTCACTTTCCGACCGGGGCTGTGATGGTTTGATTTTTGAGATATTGTCCTTATTTAACAGAGACAGTTGAGAAGGGGGGGAGAGAAAGGGGGAGAGAAAGGGGGAGAGAAAGGGGGAGAGAAAGGGGGAGAGAAAGGGGGAGAGAAAGGGGAAGAGAAAGGGGAAGAGAAAGGGGAAGAGAAAGGGGAAGAGAAAGGGGGTGGATTAGGCATCTAGATAGCGCCCGCACCTATTGCAAACCCTAGGCCCCATAGCTAGGGCAGGGTATAAGAAAGGTATAGCCCCTCCAACGTTTATAGGCCAGCATTCAGCTCTGCTACCTCTTTGGAACCGAAAGAAACCGGTAAGGGTTTGGTTCTAACCGGATTAGGGTTCAAGATCTGGCTGCATCTATGGTCCAGACTCCCATGGGCACCTTGTGGCAGTGCTTTCGTCAGTGGAAATAGTTGTACGCCAGTTCCGTGAGCCAATACATGGACATCAACGAAAGCAATGAGGCCCTTCAGGTTTATTTCTCTGCGCCTTTAAACCCCCTTCCATCATGACGACGCCAACGAAGTCCCTGGAGGAACACGCCTGGCCCAAGACGACCGACGATAATAGTGCCAAAGGAGTTCTGACGACGCAGCTTGTCGTCCGAGACTTAATCAGGTTCCATTTCGACTCGGCATCTTACGTTGATACATTCGTTCGCCGATAGCTCTTTTCTGGGTATGTGGCATTGGGAAATCGTGTTCATATTCATCATCCCCTTTGTCTATTCGGTAGGATTCTTGGTCGTGCACCTTAGGTGCTCCCTGCCTTGAGACTCCTGTTGGAAAGCAAGGAATATGATCATATTGGTACATACGTACACATTTTTCTGGTTTCCCTACCTTCTACTCACGTGCCGTAGCGTGAAAGCAACTGAGCCTTTCTCCCTTCCTCCACGCCCATTTGACAGCGTTTTCACTCTGGAGCCCGTCTTACTGGAACCCTTGATACCCGGCCGGCGCTTAGACCGTGCTCTGTCGGAGATGGAGGCGGCCGCGTGCCGGTGCCGTGCAGTGCCGTTGTGGACCTGGCAGTGATTTTATATTGGACTCGTCTTTGCCGCCAAGACGTTCAAGCCTC